CCAGCCGTTCAGATGCATTTCGTATTGCAGAACCTTGCGGATTTTATCCGCAATCTTCACACGTTGACGTGTTGAATTCCCGCGATGCGTCGGGATCGCCGCGCCGCTCGCCGCGCAATTTGCCGCGTGCCAACCCGGACGAGCCAAAAGTCCGTCGCCCGTCAAAAAGATCTCCCTGACATACGTTGGCGTTCAGCTAGGTCTAAAGTCGATCTGTACCTTAAAATTGGTGCTGAGTGACTCGACACCGTCACTCTGAAGCATTTTCAAAGCAGCAAGCAGCTGTAGAAGTATGAAGGAGACCAGCTGTTCATGGGCATTTGAGTCCATTCTCTGAAGAATTTATTGGTTTTCGTCTATAACTTGAGCTGACCTTGAATTTCCTAAACGCAGAAACACTCACCTGATTGAGATGATGGGCGGCCAACGAATGAAATGAGCACAGATTTGTACGAGGTAAAGCCACCACCTAAAACCCAAAAATCGCGATCTCGATAAAAATGTGTAGAGAAGTTTCCAGGAATTAGGATTACCTTGGACAAATACGCTTTCAGGATTTCGCCTCAAAGCGTTCCGAAGAAGAGAGGGGGCATATCGCACCATACTTCAGAGCTGCTGTTACACTTTGAAACCCGTTGCGCCCGTGGAGCAAATTTCATAATAAATTGAAGGAATGAGACTTTTCAAAGAAAGGGTGCAAGAAAACTAGGCTGATTCTCGAATGTCGTGTTGGCCTATTCCGCGGTAAGGTGTAGGTCAAAAGTACTGGTCCTCTGCTGCTCAAAGGATCCTACCCCTCCCTCGTGACCCCGCCTTGGGTTGAAATCGTGATAAATGCCTGCATCTAGAACTCTAGCATACCCAAGGCTATATGGTCTCGTCTCGTGTTTATTCGTTATACGTTCGTCCGACACGCAGAAAATGGCAAAAGAAAGGTCTTATCCAACGAACTTCCGGCCAACTATTTCGCTTTTTCCTTCAACGGTGGATTACTTCCACTCACAGTTTTGTTTGTCCCAACAATTCCGTTTTGCAACCGTGAAATGTGCCCTCAAGTGATCTTGACGGCTGGAGGGCGGTGCGGTTTGACGACTTCATTGACTCTCGTTGGTGGGTTGAACCCCTCAGCGTGTTGGGGGACGTGGTTGGGACAGCCTTTCAATCCGCATCCACCAATAACGCTAAGGCCGATGTCAGACTTTGCGAATCGCGCGATTCGCTAGCGTCCGCGGTCGCGTTGCGGTACCAGCCAATTGAGTGATTCACTGGCCGCGACGCGACCGCAGACGCTAGCGAATCGCGCGATTCGCAAAGTCTGACATCGGCCTAACAACGCAGTCAAACCGTTCCTCCCTTCAGTCATCGTGATCGCAGTTTTGAATATTAGCAGAACGTATTGCGCCATTTTTATTTGCATCACTCCCAATTCACATATGTAAAGTCACACTATATTTGAGAGCTTTTCAAATACCTCTAGCCCCAGGAATTCCAATAGAGCTCACCTTAGTGTGTCGACCGTCGAGATTTGGAGTTCCAGTGTCATGTAGGAATTTGCTGATGCTGCCGTCCTGATCTTCAAGCTCCAAGAATCCAGGGAGGGTAAACAACTGCGAACCGCTTCGCCTCATCAGTGGGGCATATTGAGAGCATGGTGCAATCTGAATATTCAAATTACCCGAACTCTTCAGAAAGTCCAAAGAGCTCTAGCTATCCTCAAGTACCACTCACCATAAGAGTTACTGGATAATCCGAGTCACCTGGACGCGGTAATATGGCATTATAGAAGAGACTCTTTCCTTTCGCGAGAATCGGATGCTGAGATTCGATGATGAAATGTGAAAACTCAAGCTGACCCAGCTGATTACGCGAGACCGGCTCCTCACCACGCCTAGGAACGAAAAAATTAAAAATTGCTCCAAAAACGAAATCTCGGATCAAAGAGCGGTGGATGAACTGATGAGGTTCATTAAGCTCAAGGGGCTACCTCATATCGTTTGCCAGCCGATCAGCCACCATAGAAAGTGTTTGCACATGAGATAGCGCCATCTGAAGTCTATTTGTAGAAAAATTGATTCATTGGGCAGAAAAATTATTATTTGCCGAAAATACCGAAGAGACTTTCAGGCCAAGCAATCGTAAATATACTACCTGAAGGTATAGCTTATTCTGTTCCTCAGGACTCTCCAGCGACCTCTTGCCAAGCGATATTTCCGTATGAGAAACGCGACTGCCACTCCCAACACTATCATTGGACAGGAAGATCGGCACTGAGTGCAAGGTGGAGCGCGAGGCTAAAATGACCCGGAACTTATCCACAGCCAAGTGAACTCTACCCTCAGTGACCTACCTGATTTCTGGGTTCGACATGGCGACATTGACGCGCCAATTGAGGCTCGTTCGTCTTTCGAACGACTACGTCTCATGAAAACTCCTGAAGGAGTATTCACATCCACTCCAGCCAACACTTTTCGGCAGGTGCCGGCACTGTATCGCGACTGAAATTCTTAGTAGTAGATCTCCTATTTATTTATTTCCTTTTTTTGCGGCTTTTTAGAAGGACAGGACAGCATTACATGCCGTGAGGTGAGTTGTGAGAACCTACTGTGCGCGGCCCAGGGGGTTGTATTTAGACATTGGGGCTTAATGAGCAGAAATATTGGAGCTCAATTTCCAAGAGATCTGTCGCGGGCTACACTTTTGAATTGCAAGAATCCAATATGGATGATCGTGAGTTCAATCCGGTGCCCACCCCGAGTCATCCGTCCATGATCCCCAAAAAAGGCCCGAAAGGAGGCAGGGGCACTTGCAGGTAGGCCGTCCTATTTCAAATGTTTTTCGAAGAAAATGACTTTTGTTGGGGTTAGGCAACGTTCAGAGTTGGCGACCGTATATGCGCGATCAGGCGATAATTTGAAAAGGAAGTGTACGTATTGACTAGGCGATTAGGCGAGTAAGCGAGTAGGCGATAAGAGAAGAATACGCCCAATGAGCGGTCGCCTAATCGCCTACTCGCCCAATCGCCTAATCGCCTAATCGATGAGTATTTCTTACATACTAATCGTCTGGTCGCCTAATCGCATGTACGTCGCCGATTCGAAGCGCAAAATGGTTGTTTTTGTCTAACAAACAGAAAGACGTACCGGTACACCAAGCTTCGGATTCGGAGGCAGTTGTTCCGCAGCTCCACTGCGAACTGAACTCAGCTTCTGAAATGTTTTTATGCTGCTCAGACTACTTCAAGTAAAAACCTATTCTTAGGGTAAATTGGAACGAGTTGAACGAGGTTTACATAGATTCGAGGAAGAGACTCCTAGTCTTTCTCCCTCATACGACTCATTAAAAGAGCAGCTACAGCATGACTTGATACGTCTAGAAACAGGCATTGAAAATTTACCCCTTTGTGCTTATAGAAATCCGGCCCGAAATAGTATTTTCCGAATTCACACTCTTATTGAAGGCACGGGTCAAGATAAGAACCTCAGAGTAATTGTTTCCTTGAATGAGGTAGCAGGACCCCTAATCACAGGGTTAGCTATACTGTACCTTCGCTTGACCGCTGCAACCGCTGCCATTTTATCTATCGCAGCTACGTGGCATCTGCGCCTTCTCGCGTATGGCGTACTCTCTCATATCTCCCCTGTTCTCACAGCGTTGTATCTCTCTGTCACACGCCACCCGGCCACACAGGTTAAATTCCAATGGTTTCTATGGCGCTCTTTGTTCTCCAAACTAACGTTCCTCATGACAGTTGTTGTCCCATTCTTGGACAAAATAACACAGCAATTGATCGGGACCCGTGCCGGCAACGCCAATAGACAGCTATCCTGCTTCTTGAGAAAAAAGAACGAGGTTAAAAGATTACTCAGTGTTAGTGCCCTGTGTCATTAACTCCAACTATGGGTACTGTAGCAATCAGTTCTCTTGAACTATACAAGCAGTACAGCAATTTGGCGAAACTTCGGACAAAGCAAGTTGTTTTTTATTTCGGCTCCGGTCCGGATCTTCCCATTTTCATTTTTTTTTATTTTGCTACATTCAAAATTTTTTGCTTCTTCATGGAAATTACTGAAGCTTACCTTAACTGGCATGGGATCCTCGATCGGAGAGTCGACTGGACTTAAATACATCGTTGAGGGATCGTCGACATCCGACTCTCTTATCCACCTGCAAGAATCGAACCGTCCAACAGAAAGTTCACCGTCGATCTGTCCCCGTCAATATCACGGATTCATTCCAAAGCCCTCAGGCTCGCGAACAAACCTGGCCGGTAGACTTCGACGTTTCGGTGTCGGAACTTTCGCCATGAGTGGAGCTGGACGAACGGTGATCGAGGCAGGCTCAGGTGTCGAGCCGGTGTGACTGAATGGACTGTGACTGCTCGGATGTTCCGATGAGCTTGACGTTGCACCGCGACTGGGCTGCCTTGATGGACTGGGCATCTGAAGAATTTTCATGGTAAGCTTGATTCACTGAATTAAATGAGCCCCTTCCAGCGCTCCGATGGGGTGAGGAAAATCAGCCTACCATTCTCGGTGATGTATCTCTTGTTGGCATAAAACTGATTGGACTTTGAATGGAGGACATGCTTGCTCGCGATCGTCCGGATGTGTTCCTGGACGTGGGACTGCTCCTTAAATCGGATGATTTTTAACGGTATGGATTTGCAACGGGCTCAAGCCAACGCCGCTTCCAAAACTTACGCAGGCCCTGAATTCAAACTGCTTCGCTGTGTCGGTGACCAAGTCTCTCTCGGTGGTTCACGATCCGGAGACCATATATCCCTGGAGTTATTCCGCGGTAGGTCTCGTGGCATATCCCTGGATGGTGATCTGTTCTTCTTCGGTGACCAAACATCGCCACAACAATTCATCATGTCAGATGGACTTGTTCGTGGCGAGTTTGTCTGCACAGAATCTGAGGTGTATCGTCGAGGCAACTGTGCACGTTTATCAGCGATCTGAAAATAAACCTGTGAGTGGCAGATGTTTCGGGCGTTTGTAGACAGATCACCTTGTATTAAGATCAAGTTACACCATGGATACGCGAAAAGTACCCAAAAAGGTGGCGTTGATTGGCTGCGCGCAAAATCAATACCCATTTTAATGCACACGTACTATGGCGTAAAGGGGAATGTGGAAAAAGTACACACCACAGTCCAGATGCTATTCATTCCTGCCACGTTTTGGAAGCCAACGTGTTTGCCTACTCACACAAGCACTTCAACCGTTTAACCGTTTACCGACTCTTGAGTGAGGCAATTCCAGACAGTTTCCTCATGAGCTTCCGGGTGGGAGCAACAGTACGGGGAAAGCCAGCACTGGAGGGCGCTCACTTTAAGGTAGTCAACAAGAGAGCGTTTTGGATGCTCACGAGGAAAAATTCTATTTTCGGAAACCGGAAGTAGAAATTGACGACGATACACAAAAGTGCGATAATGGAAGTTTCAATCCAATAGTTTATACATTTCAATGGCACCTACAAACTGTCCACTAGGGTGATGGAATTTTGGATGCTAATATTTAAAAAGCTGCTCCACTTGTGGACCAATAAATCGAAATCATGAAGCTAAGCGGTCATTTTGGGATGCGCCTGGCACTCGGTCTCGATTAAGAAATTGTAGTGATGGCTTTTGAAGGAGTTTGCAACACCTTGGGAGGGCCATCCAATGCACACTTCAAAGTCTTCATACATTCAGACCAAATTCATGCCCAAGGCTTCAACCAGGCTGATATTGGGAAAGCAAGGTTAGACTGACTAGGGCAGAATTTTGGAGGAGCTCTGACCCTTAGTCTACGTATACGGTAGGACTTCACCCCCCCCCTGTTTACTGTTCAACCACCTCCCAAATGTAGAGTGAGTGTAAATACTTCAGAGTAACTTCAAAACCACAACAGCGGATGTTTTCCTGACAAGCATCGTCGAGCAGTGTTCTGGATGGTGTTTCTAAAGAGGATCAGAGCTGAGGTAGCGCCATGTAACGCCGCTCACTGCCCACATGGTCCGGAGCTCGAATCTTGGATGGAATGGCGTTCAGGCCAAAAAGCTTTTCGTCCCATCGGGATTTCTTAATTGAGATTCCCACTCATCAGGGAGGATAAGAACACCGACTCAGATCTACATCAGGTAGCCCTAGGGCCATTGTTTAAGTCAAAAAGCACTAATGTATTCTGCACGATTTCGAACGAAGTAAGAGTGCATGGCGCATCCCAAAGGCAAATTAATTATCTCTGAACCCTTCTATCTTTCACTTTTTCAATGAATCATGTCCTAGCCTCAAAGAAGAGCACAACAAAGAACTTATATATAATTAAATGTACTCATA